TTCGCACAGTAGGAGAGAAAAATTTAATGTTTCCCTGAAGAGATCTTTTGTCGTGTTCAATCAATTTACTTGGGGACAAAAAAGAAAGTTTCCACCAAAACATGATAATCTCGTGAGACATTTATGTGTCTTCCGGGTAAATACATTCGTTCTACAGAGAATTATATGAGGCTCCGGTTTTATCAAGTGAATGTTATTGAGTAGTGTATATCTTTGTCCAATAAACACTTATAATTTCCATGGAACAAATGATAATTTCCAGAGGAAACTAGAATTTTCTTGCCGATAACTGTTATTGGCAAAACTAAACAATTCCGAAGGGACAATTTTTTTTTGGGAAAAAACTATTCTTTCCTCGTGAATATATTCTTTCTATGGTATAAACCTATGGAGTTCTCTCACATCAAATGATTGTCGTACAATAGATTACATTTTTTTCTGCCAACAGTTCGAATTCTTCTGGAAATATTTCTGATGATCACAACAAAAATTTAATTTTTGTGAAAGATATTAAATTTCCTTCTGTCAAGTTGGTTAATTTCCCTCAAGTAAATCTGTTCCGCTCCATCAAATATTCTCTCCGTGGAACATGTAGTTACGGCAGCGCTAATTTTATCTCGCATTGCGATTATCTGAATAATGAGTGACTTTAGGAAATGTCAACAGTTACAAAAAGGTCTTTCCTGTTCCGAAAAAAACATCGAATGCTCTTTAAATCTCGAACAAAAATCCCCTCAATACCTCTTGAAAATCCCTCTCTCCCGTTTGAAAAACATCTCGTGTCCTCCTCGCCCATATTACGAGACCACAGCCCCATAATGGGCGAAAAATAATCTTGAATTGGGAAAAATATCCCGCAATTAAGAGAGTTTCTCACTTAATCTCACATGTTCACCACAAATGATTTAATTATGAAGTGCCATTTGGGAAAGATGATAATAAGAAGATTGAAGACAATAGTAGAACGACAAGACGTACTAGAACAATTTTCCTCATCTCGCTAAATACAAAATTATCATCTGAATAACCAGTGACTTTAAGAAAAAAAATTGAGACAATTTTTGTAGGAAACGTCACCAGTTACAAAAACGTCTGTTCTATTAAAAAAACATGAAATTCTTTCCAAATCCCAAATAAAACTCCCTTAGACTCCTCCAGAAATCTCTCTCTTCTGTTTTAAAAACATCTCCACTTCCTCCTCGCCTGAGAAAAATATCCCTGAATTAAGAGAGTTCCTCGCTTTATCTCGAATGTGCACCACAAATTAATTCATTATCATGTATTATTCACATATTATTATTTGAGAAAAATTCCAATAAGAAGACTTCACGCAATAAATCCCGGAAAAAATAGACCAAGGGAAATTTTTTAAGTTCGTTAGCGTTTAGCTCGTTCTGGGGCTGTGGGCTATTTTTCCTGCACGTAGAGAAATGTTCAGTAAAAATGACGGAACTCACAATGCGCTCACCGATTACGGAATCGACTCAGAAAATTTAAGTGACGGTATCGTAATTTTTCACAGGAGATTCAGATAAAAATTACGGAACGCTCTGAAAAAATTCCGTGGAATACACACGGAATTACGAAAGAGATACGTAATTTTTATTGAATATTTCTCTCCGTGTGAAAATTCAGGGAAAATTCCAGAATTTTAAGTGGCATAAAGACGAGACTTCCCTAATTTATTAATGTTTATTGAATATTTCTCTTCGTGTGAGAATACCACTCTCCTCAAAACGTCCAGAAAATCCCTCTCCTTTCAAAAGCATCACGTCCTCCCCGCCCATAATGCCCCACATTCCAGATGTACCCTATCACTACCGGAAAAACCCCTCTCCCCGTCTAAAAAATGAAAATACCCCGCGCCCACCAGCAATTCCGAGCCCCACACCTAAAATATGACGAGATGTTTTTCGAACGCTCGAACGACAGCCCGAGAATGGACCCGAGCTGTTGAACCCATGAAATTCTCAACTCTCGCACACTGCAACGTCCCCGCGCTAACGAGTATGCGGGGAGCTGCGGGGGCTTATCGGCTAGAATACTAGAGCGAGAGACAACCCAAAGAGAGACCGACAGGGAGACTCGTTATTACTCCGATATGACGTCATCCCCTGGGCAACAGGAGACACGTAGGAAGCCAGTGGTGTCAGACCCACTACGAGTGACGAAGATGATGAAACGATCAAGAAACATCTCTCGAAAAATATTGAATAAAACTCACTGGCATCAGTCAAGAGAGTTGTCCCCTCGTTTCAGGGACAAAATTGTCCTAATTTGAGACACTTTTTCCCGGCGCAGCCACTACTTGAGAGAAAAACGAACAGGTTTTGTTTGGGACAACAAAATTGTTAATTGAAAATTCCTAAAAAATTATTGTTTGGTTCGAATTTGAAAGTCTCAGCATGAATAACTGCTATGCTTTCAACGACAACGAAATATTTGGCTTAAGAGGCGGATCGTTCATGCAAGAAGGTGCCTTTTCAGGATAAAAATATCTTTGGGACACTGTTACAAATTTTTGTCTGAATTTTCCGGGTTAAATCCCGAATTTTTGTCATTTTAAATTTCGGTTTGATTTCCACTGAAATTTCCGGAAATCTCGTCATTGAAAAATCAAGTATTCCAGTGATTTTCAGTTTGAATGATCTGGAAATAAGTAAAATACTTGATTTTCCAGTTCAATCATTCGGTGAAAATTCCGAAAACGCAGGGCAATTTTTAAAATTCAGGTGATTCTGTTTCTCAATATTCCATTGAAAATTCAATCAAGTTGTGGAATTTCCGTCTCACTCCCACTAAAAACTCATGAATTTCGTAGAATTCTATCTAAAACTTGGAATTTCATAACAATTTTTCTCCTAAATCGAATTCAATGTCACTCTCATGAGAATTACTAGCATAGTTTCCATGACATTTCAAGAATAAAATTTTCTTGAAAAGAATGAATTTATTTTTGCAATAAAAATTTTCAATCTCGACGCAAGCTTCACACGTTTTACCCTACAAAATCCTTTCTTGATAATTTTAAAAAACCATTTTTTGACACAAGTAAAACTTGTTTGAGAACTCTGCTGTTTTTTAAAAATATCTTTTATAGACAGAGGTTTATCAAGAAATGTTTTCTCCCTAAGTTCGAACAACGCTGCCATAACATTAATATTATTTCATTTGAGAATTAATTCTTCGTCAGTGACTATCAAATAACCAAAACGACAAACTACTATTCCTAAAATAAATAAATAAATCTAAAAGTAAATCTATTTTTGGAGTAAAAATTATCAATCTCGGCGTATGCCGCCCGTTTGGCCCAACAAAATCGTTCCTAAATAATTTTCAAAAACAATTTTTTAACACAAGTAAAACTTGTTTAAGAACTCTGCTGTTTTTTTTTTAATATCTTTTATAACGGGACATTTATCGAGAAATATTTTCTCCCTAAGTTCCAAGATTGCTCCATAACATTAATATTCTTCATTTGAGAATTAATTTGTTGTCTGTGATTATTAAACAGCCGAAAGGACAAACTACTGTCCCTCGTTTTATATAAAACGCGCATTCGCCGTGAGCAAAATACATATGGGAGCAATGAATAACGAAAAAATAGTGCTAGAACCTACATCTCTCCCTCGCAAATAGAATAAATTTCTTTTGAAAAGCGTAAACAAAAAAATCTAAAAACAAATCTATTTTTGCAATAAAAATGATCAATCCCGTCGCACGCCGCCTGTTTGCCCCAGCAAAATCCTTTGTAAATAATTTTCAAAAACGATTTTTTGACACGAGTAAGACTTGTTTAAGAACTCTGCTGTTTTTTTAAAAATATCTTTTATAACGGGACGTTTATCGAGAAATATTTTCTCCCTAAGTTCCAAGATTGCTACCATAACATTAATATTCTTCATTTGAGAATTAATTTGTTGTCTGTGATTATTAAACAGCCGAAAGGACAAACTACTGTCCCTCGTTTTATATAAAACGCGCATTCGCCGTGAGCAAAATACATATGGGAGCAATGAATAACGAAAAAATAGTGCTAGAACCTACATCTCTCCCTCGCAAATAGAATAAATTTCTTTTGAAAAGCGTAAACAAAAAAATCTAAAAACAAATCTATTTTTGCAATAAAAATTATCAATCCCGTCGCACGCCGCCTGTTTGCCCCAGCAAAATCCTTTGTAAATAATTTTCAAAAACGATTTTTTGACACGAGTAAGACTTGTTTAAGAACTCTGCTGTTTTTTTTTTAAATATCTTTTATAACGGGACGTTTGTCGAGAAATATTTTCTCCCTAAGTTCCAAGATTGCTCCATAACATTAATATTCTTCATTTGAGAATTAATTTGTTGTCTGTGATTATTAAACAGCCGAAAGGACAAACTACTGTCCCTCGTTTTATATAAAACGCGCATTCGTCGTGAGCAAAATACATATGGGAGCAATGAATAACGAAAAAATAGTGCTAGAACCTACATTTCTCCCTCGCAAATAGAATAAATTTCTTTTGAAAAGCGTAAACAAAAAAAAATCTAAAAACAAATCTATTTTTGAAATAAAAATTATCAAAAACTATCAATCCCAGGCAAGCCCCACGCGATCCAAAAAAAAACAAATTGGTGCTATTGAACTCTAACGATCCATTGACAGATCGACCACCGATAAGCATAAATGTGAAAAAATATAGAAACTGATTGGCTCTAACGACCCACCGTCATTACAGCCTTAATAGGAAAATCCGTAATGTGACTGAGCGCGTGTACGATCCGCGTAAAGCTAGGTCTCCCCGTGCAAAGGAAAATAAAAGTTGTCGGAGTGCGATAACCGTGGCCGCTGAAAAAACGCCGATTTTTCTCCTCATATTTCATTCCCACAACTCATTTCCACTGGTGCTCTACCGTTAAACTCCACGTTCACTGTTACGACGCATACGTCACTCCACCGAATCAACCTGACATGCGAGCAATGAAAAAAAAAACCCCTTTCGAATGATCGCACTTACTTCGTTCTCCTGCGTCGTGCAGTCACGGGACCCTTCGAGACACTTTCCTTAAACAAATACAAATTCACTGATAACGCCGGTCCGAGTGCACGCGTTCACCGTAGCCTCTCCGACTCATATCAGCCCCCGATGTCAACAAATATCCTCTCACCATAAACAAAACAGTCACACAAATAATAGTCTCTCCACAAAAGTCAGACGACTGCTCTCAATTCATCTGCCAAAACTGTTGTTCAATAACCGAACAATCACCCACTGTTCTCAATTTCACACCAACAATAAAATAAACCAAAAAAACAACAACTCGCGAGTATTCTGAAAAAAAAAAACGCGCGCCTACACACTCTGATATTCAGCGGTAAGCGACACCTCCGAGCGCGAAGCCAGTTCTTTCCTCGTATTTAGATAAAAAAAAAATTGAAGGTGGGGGAGATAGCGAATAGGTTTCTCTCGGAAAACCCAGTGACTTTGGGAGTACCGAGTGGGGAGCGGGGACACACACAGGCGTATTGGATGCAGCTTAGCGGGTATTAAGCCTCGTATGCGCTATTTTTTTTCTCTTTTGATTACGACAAAGGGTTGAAAAGGTAAAAGAGGCGAGCGATGCGTTGGTTAGGCGACGGAATTGCGACTGCTCGGGCTGGAGACTAGTGCCTGGCGCGACAGCGACTGCCCGGCGACACTAGCGCCACTATTTCCCCTCACTCGCCATTATTCTCACACTGACACGATCCTATCCCTTCCCAACGGCTCGCAACCGAGTGAAGCGACGGCTTTTTCCATCCCCACCACTGGCGTTGTGTGTGTGGAGTTGGTTATCCCTCCGCAGTTGTGGGGTCGCACTGTGCTGCCATCAGGTCCGATGCCATTGCCGATGCTCCGCCACTGCGTCGCCTGGACTGTACCCCTCCGCCAGCTCGATAAGTTGTACTGTCTGCGCATGCGTCCTCACTCCCTTCCCCGCGTGGTACTGATATCTACATAACAAAATTTCTGACTCTCCTTTTCTCCTTCTGCCTTCAATTCCCCTACTTTAGCTGTTACTCGCGTATCGGCGGAGGGAGTTCGGGAGAAGCTGGTTCACGAAATCCACTGTGTCGCGCGAACTGACGATGGAATTTTAATGAGTCAAAATTCATTTTCTAGCGGGCGAAATTTTCTTTGGAATGAGAAAAAAATTCGGGAGATTCACTCTGCCGATCGGGAGTTATTGAGGATTTGGTGGACGGGGTTTCGGGCGCCGCTGGGGGAAAAGGGGATTGTTCGATCGGCTGTAGGTTGGGATCGGCTGAGTGAAAAATTTCGATTTTTTTTTCATTTTGAAGGGCTTTTTGGGATCTTTGGAAGGAGATGGGACTCGATTAAGTTCCATCGTTTGATCCCGAGATATCGGAGATTTTAGGGAGGTCGGGGTTTGGACACCCACACGGTCGCGCATCACACACGTTTTTCCTTGGGGCTTTTCGGCAATGGAGAATGTTAACTCGTGTGGGTATGCCACGTTGTGTTGGAGAACCGGCAACACGGTTTTCGAGTTCGGAAGCGGTGTGGGTGGGTAGCCATCCACGACTACGAAAAGAGCGAGGGGAACGAGTACACAACGGAGTAATCTCGTTTCTGTGTCCATGGATGAGGAAAGAAAATGTAGAATTGGGGATTGTTGAGGATTGAGTTTTCGGGTGAAATATAGGTTGAGGGGAGTTGTTTATGATTGCAGAGATGAGCTAGGATTTTGGGGTCATTGTTTTTTTTTATTATGCTGGGAGAGGGAGGGGGGATTTGATGATTTTGGGGACGAGTGTGTGGCCGGAATCTTGGGGAAATTCAGCCGGAGTTTTATCTCCTTTATTTCATCGGCGACCTTAACCTTTTCTTTGCAGCTCCCTCGCCTCTTGCCGAGCAGACAATGTCTCGTGAGGAGAAGGGAAATCCTTATGTGCGAATGACAGAACACGTGGACCCGGATGACTCACACGATCGTAAAGGGAGATGTTGCCGCAAGAGAATTATTGCGGGGGAGACTGAAAGCTGGAGAGTATTCGGAGGATGACGAGACTCGTCGATTTTTCTGCCGGGAAAATTTTTTTGGAGGGATTTTTTGGGGTATTGGGTCAGAGTGGGTTTTCTTCTTCATCTTTGTAGGATTTTTTAATCTAAATGACGATTCAATTTCTTCGTTCGCAGAAAAAAGAAATTGTCAAGATTAAACTAAATTGGGGCTCAACGACTCGTTTCTTTTTTTCCTGCGAAAATTTTAGGGAGTTTTTAGGAAATAAACGAGATGGCAGAATTGTGAAATTCCTCACGAATTGAGATTCTTGAATAATTTTTCACAGGGAAAAAACTTAACGTGAATTGCGTTTTGCTAAACGTAAATCACGTTCATCAAAAATACGAAAAATTCATGGTAATTTACGGAAACTTTGAGCGTAATTTACGAATACGAGATCGTAAATTACGTTTATGTACTTTACGGCGACTTTAAGCGTAATTTACGATTACAAAATCATAAATTACGTTTATGTAAACGTAGTTTACGTAGGGACGAATATTCTTTGTGCGATTTAAATAAATAAATGAAGTTAAAGTTCAATCCACTGCATTTCATATTTATTAATATATCCTACATCCAAAATCAGTTGATTGTTTATAATCATTCTCATTGCACAAATCAATACAACCGATGAGAATTATTGTCCCAATGATTTGCTCACGTTCTAATTACTCTGCTCACTGAATAAGATTTTAATCATAATTACAATTCAATTCCTTCTAGAACACTTTAGAGTGTGAATTTCTGGAATTCAATGTATGTTGATACTCTGGTAAAAGTGCGTGTCCACACTGTTATCAATTTTTAGTTAGTTCACACGGTAATTCAATTAATCTGTTGTTCATCTCATTAATATAATTCCGTGCTTGGAATATTGTCATCTCGTGTTTTCAGCGCCAAATTAAAAATGAAAACATTTGGATATTAACATTATTTGTTCAAAGTGAAAAAATCGATCATCATTTTCACTATATTGCATTCAGATTCTCCTATCCTTAACGTGAAAAATGTGAGATAATCTCATAATTCTAGCTATTAATTCTAATCAACTTTGTTCGAAGAAAACCTTAGTAAACGCAGTACTAAGAAAGTAGAATTATTCTATTTTCCTCTGACCTAAATGATTTGCACAATTATGATTCGTTTATTCATGTTTCATAGAATGGTATTCAATTCTCTTTTATTTGTTAGGCGGGCTTCATCAAAATCCGACGCAAGACGATTGTACTCTTTACTCTCTCCATTCGTTCGAGATATTGCCCACACTTTTGAATTTTTTAGAAAGGATAATCAAAATGATAAACGTCTAAAAATTGATTTCAATAATTTCCTCTTGAAAAATAATGCTGTTTAGATAACAGAAATAGTGTATTTACCCGATTTAGTTATATTCTGTTGATGCTTGAATTTTATCAAAAATATTTTCCATTTGATTTTCATAGTTATTTTTTGTGCAGCAGTCACGGAAGCGGATACACGTTTCTCTTCGATACGGTGGGGCCACGATAAGCCGTTGCCTCTCTTTCTTCAGCACCTCTTCCCGCTCCATCGAGAGACGAGAGCTGTCGATATTTTACCAAGGAATTTTTCATGCTTTGTACATCGTCTTGAAAGCCTCGGAAAATGCCTTCCCCCCCCCTCCCCCCTCCCCACTCCATCTTATATATTTTTTTCTTCACTTGACGAGTGATTTCTCGTGTGATCCCCGCGGCAGAACGAAATCAAGTCATTAGGGAAGAGAAATATTCACCTTCTAACATGACAAATTACAAGTTGGGTATTTATAAGGGGCTGTTGCGCGTCACGATTTCAATGGAGAATCGAGGTGTTGCACTTAATAGCTAGTAATGAAAGACGGGCTACAAATGTGGTACACGATTTCACTCTCCTCTAGAGATGTCGCGAATGCGGGGCGGGGAAGGCAGAGAGAAACGCTTGTTATTATCGTAGATCCTCTCATTTCTCTTACCCCTTCGACTTTTCATGTCGTTACGCAAAATGTGGTTTTTAAGGCCCGATGTTCGGCCGTTTAGTCCATGAAATGTCTGTTAAACATTAACCACAAGTTAAAGTTTTTTATAATATCAACTCAGTGAAATATTAATTAGTGTTGTGATAAAACGGTTGAGAAATAAAATAAGTGCCCTTTATTTTGTCTTCGTGAGGTGTATAACGCTGTGGAGATACATTGGCCTGTCAAACGTTCCACATAAAATGTTAAAATTAAATTAATAGGATGATATGCTGAATGACAATGTTTACTTATTTTTAACTATTGAGTGTAATTTATCATGTAATAGAAAACAATCAGGGATCAAGCTTTATTGTGCGCTACCGGAATTTTTCTGGTGCTAGACAACTGAACCCACTTCACCAAACGGCACGGTTATTTTTGCCTGAATTTCTCCAGAAAAATTCTGGAATTTTTTTCTCCGTGTATATTGGTTAATTAGATTTTTATGATGGTCGTTGAAAATTTCTAATTTTTCATGAATTTCCCTGAAAGTGAGCCTTCTGATGGTTTCTTTAAATGTGATGTTTCAAGTTCATTCAAGTATTTATAAATAAAATTTTTCTATCAACAATTTATCGAAGGGCTGAGGGGAGAGATAGAACAGTAAAAAACAAAGAAGATCGATTGTATAGAAGAAAGGGATAATAAGAATAATGATGATGATAACATTTAACCAAGTTGAAAATCTGACAAAATTAGTTGAAAAGAAATCTTATTCAATTTAATAAAATGAAATGTACAATGAACTATACATGATACAAGGACATAATGTGCAAAACATCCTTTAGACGCATTTAATTAGATTAAATTGAATTAGACTCGAGTAAAAATCCGCTCGGAATAAATAAAATTAAAAAATTTTTCCGGTATGGTCCTCAATTACAACGTTCACATAAGTTTTCAATTTTATATTCACTCACTGCAGTTCCCCCACACCGCGAACGAAAGTCCTTCGACACAAATAGGCACACGACACCATGAAATTGAAATAAATACAGAATTCCAGCAGCTGCTTCGCCGGACAAAATTGAACCGAAAAGAAGAGATATTTAAAAATAATAACAAACACTGAAAACCTGAGACAAAATAACAAACGCACCCTCCGAGTTTTCCATCAACCGCAGCATCTCTCCCATTCCTTTATTCTTCGCACAAATGTTTCCGTGGAGTCGGGCAATTAGGAACGGCCGGTTTTCACCGCGGAAACATAACTTTGTAACGCTTTTGGTTTCAAAGTAACGAAAATTGTTATATATTAATATACGGAGATGGTAAAAGGGAACCGCAGTTGGGGCGTCGACACGTAATGAATACCTCCCCCTGTATACAAAGTAGCATAAAACGGGATATTACGATAGAAGGAGTCGCGTAATTCACCACGGTCTTGGGCCTCGGTGTTGAGTGGACTAACGTAAACTCTCGAGCGAGTGAAGATTATATTCAGGAGTGAATATCCCAAGACTTTACGAATTCCAAATCCCCAGAAATGTAATTCAATCAATTATTTTATTTTAAAAAATGGCTTCTGCATTAAAAACAATTTTGA